ACATAATTTATTTTGCCTTCAATCGCCCGTATTTAAAAAATACATTTGCACCATTACGGAGATGCGATGGAATTGTAGCCCTCTCCAGAAAACATTAGATAAAAAAAAAAAATCGGAGGGCTACATTCATGACATTATTGCAGCTTTATTCAGTGTAAATAAAAATTCTAAATGCTTTGAGTTTTATCTCAAGTTAAAGTTAAACTTATACTTCGAAGGGTCTAATTTAGCTCTGCTTTGCGTGATATATCAATTAATCAATTATTTTTTTTTTAATCCAGGATGAACTGCTTTTCATCATAAAAGAAAATTTAATTATTGATTATCCTCTTTCATCAATAATTGTATGAAGTACACGGGGGAATGTAGAGCTTGCTGGTTATACATAATGACTTAATTTTTCAGAATGTTGACGAATATTCAACTGTTCATTTTCGACATCTTGTAATTTTAATTTCCGACATTTTGAGGTTTTAGTCTTCGACATTAATTATAAATTCGTTTCCGGCAATGAAAACAGAATTCGAAATTTTCCGTAATTAATAACTAACAAAAATTTGCTCCATCTACCACCAGATTATTCACAGAAACAGTTTTCTTTTTCAATACTTCATACAGTCAAAGATGTATAACTCCTTCTTTATCTTTTAAGTTTTAGCTTTTTGTGATTGTCGAACGTTGTGAATCTATTGTATTTCTATACAAGCTTCGTTTTGAATTTTAGCTGCCCCGTGCCGCCACACATAGACAAGTCAAAACGCAGTAAAAATCAACCACTTCGAATGTAACGACTACTACAGTACTGTAATGAAATTTTTTAGCTCGATTGCTGCATGAAAAATATTACTAATATGTATACCTCTACTGTAACAGTTACTATAAAAGGAGAATGTCTTTTCTCTGCAAACACAATGACCTTTTTCCAGTCATAGCTATCATTTATGTCAGACCACGATTTTCTGAATTTTTTAAAAGTAAAATAAGATTTCAAACAAATGATAATCAATGTATATATGCATTTTCTTCTTTTCAAAAAAACCACAGAATCTACATTGTGTACATGTTGTTGGAATATTGTATGAACACCTCATCTGTTTCAAAGTCCACTTTTTGCCCTGCTCCTTTATTGTATTAGTTTTAGGACTTTGAGATTGGGTGCCTTTTCGTTATCTCCATATCCTACTTATATTATGACGGTGCCATTGAAAAATTGTTTGTTCTAAAACTTTTTACCGTGTGGGAGTAAATGAAAAAGTTATGTTCCAGAATTTACTCTTCCGTTAAATTCAAAACCCAAAACGTGACAGAAGTGTCAGTTTTATTTCATATTAAGCTTGCTATTACTATATATATTATATAGAAGGCATACTTATATAAAAGGATAATAATTCTATATCTGCATATCATTTATCAAAAATACTTAATGGACTCTAGCTGCAAGAGAATTCAATTTCAATATATATTTAGAACAATTACGAAATCATGTTTGTACATTTCATAATAATTATATGATGTAACGTTTGCTTACAGTGACATTAGATTTTTTTTCTTTTAAATTTACATAGATGTGTTCAACATGTATTTTCAATTTAAACATTGTACATGTATATGTGTACATGCACACTGCTCTGGTACAAATATATGTAAGTTGTTTTTTTCTTCTTTTGTGAACTTTCTTTTTGGGCTTTTAACTATATCGATCTAGTCTTGGAAAGAGATCTAGAAGAATTAGAATTAGTGCTAAATTAAACGACAAAGCAACGTTCACACCGTTACAAAATCTAATTGAAATGCTCATTTGTATCTGAAAGGGATTAATTGATGTTAGAATACTCAGATAATTTAGAGTTACCATTATTTGAGCGAGAAAAAATAGTTTTAAATGTGAACAAAAAAAAAATATAGAATGGCGCCAAACAGAGGACAATTCGACAATTCGAGAAATCTATTCTTTAAAAAAATAATTTAAAGATTTATATTAATTTTATTCGCTTACCAAGCTTCAAACAAATTTTGAATCACCGGGCTCAGGGCAAAGTCCTGTTGGGGTTGCGCCCTTAAAACTGAGGAAATTATGATTACCAGTTTATTTTTTTTTTTATTCTTGATTTTTGGATAGTACAAACAAAATTTGAAACAATAAATAAAAAAAAATAAAAGGGGGGGGGGGGCGACCTTGGATCCGCCTTTGGCATTCGTAATTTATTCAAAGGGACGCCCACTTTGTCGATGATTAAGACGGGGTACTCAAATTACTGCCCGTCATTGTACGCCTGTTTTATATGGGTAAGTTGCCTTTTATTCTAAACTCTGGAATTGTCATTCGTTTACTTTTCTACTCTTTTCTGTAACAACGTTATTTAGACGTTTAATGCATGTTTGGGTTTCTAGGTGAGGTGCCCTTGACTCATATTTTATAAATAGCTTCGAGAATGTTGGCAATCAAACTGTGACCTAAATACACGATCGATAATTTAAAACAGAAAAACAATGGTGCCTAGCTTGTATATAACACTGTATAAGCTAAATCCATTAAACCCCCTTCGTTTGTTTCCCAATTGTTTTAGATGGTGTTTTCGCACTTAAACACAAACATTGCCTTTGATCCATAGGCGCTTGGTTACAGGATGGTGTATTTTGTGTATTATGTGTTTTTCTATGTGTGCCTGAATATACTCTCATTAAGGTAGATCATCCCTCTGATAAGAGAGATAACTCTTCTTATAAGAAAGATAACTTTCTTTAGACATTTTGTCATGAAATTCAGGTTATTGTCATGTCAGAGTTTACAAGTTTCATTCAAGCCAACCATTCCATAGTCAACTCAAACAACCTTATTCTAAGGTACAGATGTTAATTTATAGTTTCTATTGGTTGTATGTAGATTAATGATTTATAATAATTTACTTAAAACATTTATACTAAGTTCCTTTAAACAGTGTAAATTGAGAAATCTCTACCTCTTAAAGTATAATTCTTTTAATTGTAAAGAAATTTCAGATGCAGTATTGTTTAAAAACATTTCATTAATATTTTGTTTCAATAAAAAATATTTTCAAGGGCGATAATGGAAGGATAACTCTTGCTTATGGATGCGTGTTGTTTTACATGCACGGAAAACAATTTGCAATTGTGGTTTAAAAAGCAGCGCTTCAGTATGTTTTCTAATGGGAATTAGATAGGTATGAGAGTAAATATTATTTTTATATATACCTCATATTTCTAAATTAATTGTGAGATAAAAAATAATTAATCTTTCTATTTATCATCCCAAATTTTCTTCACATCATGATTTGACATATTATTCATTTCTGAAAAAGTAAGCAACGCTTCATACTTCAAACTATTTTCCATTTGAATTTAATGCTATAGTTCTTGCTGAAAATCAATGTCTGGATTTTTAAAAAATAAGTCGGGAAATTTGGAGCAGAGGGATATTGTCCCTTAAAATAAATCTAAAAATTCGGCGAAATTAGCACGTTTTAAAAAATGTCATATTTACTGTATATAAAAAGAGTAAAGGAGCGTCACTCGCCATCTTGAAAATCAGGGGGTGCCTCGGTTCACACTTGATTTTAAACAATATCTACATTTTTCCTACCGGTGTCGGACAAGATCTAGCTTCAAAAATGGTTGAATGACAACTCCCTACCATCTGTTGACCTACATATGCCATTTTAAACAAGCAGTGAACCGAAACGTACTCGATTCTTGTGCCTGTTTATCGAAAGCAACGGAAGTGGCGATTTCGTCTATGTAAAATGTAGAGGCGTCCCTCAAATACATGAAAAATCTAGAGAGGTCGGAAATCGCGCCAAACTTGTTTTCTCTAGATTTTCCGTGTAATTCCGGGACACCTCTACATTTTTCATCGTTAGAAATCGACACTAACGTTGCTTTCGATGTCTGTACATGATATTGAGGATGTTTTCTGTTTATTGCAAGTTTTATACGGCAAGTTCAAATCGACAGACGTTTGAAAGGTGTTATTCAACCATTTTTGAAGCTAGATCTTGTCCGACACCGGTAGGAAAAATGTAGATATTGTTTAAAATCAAGTGTGAACCGAGGCACCCCCTGATTTTCAAGATGGCGAGTGACGCTCCTTTACTCTTTTTATATACAGTAAATATGACATTTTTTAAAACGTGCTAATTTCGCCGAATTTTTAGATTTATTTTAATGAGAGTATTCAGGCACACATAGAAAAACACATAATACACAAAATACAACATCCTGTAACCAAGCGCCTATGTTTGATCGTAAAGAACATAGAACGACTTTTATTTCAAGCAGAGAAACTTGCAACACTCAAGTCATTTACATGTAGCTATTTATCGATATATATATCTATCGTGTAAGCCTAGGGACGTTAACCGAGGCTCCTATACTGTAGCAGTAGTAATGTCAATGTATTTGCAAAGGTAAACAATTATGATGATACGCAATATTTTTTTCAGCAACCAGAGAAGAAAGAATGGGGATTGTATTGACATTTTCTAAATTAAGAATTTACTTGGTTGGAGTAAATACAACATTTAGATCATGACTACCACTAAATTTTTATTTACTCCAACCCAATAAATTCAAAACTGAAAACATGGAAGTTTTGATTAAAAATAAAACCCTTTACTTTATAATCTTAGGCGTCGGAACCGGGGCTGGGGGTGGGTGAGTAGGTGAGGCCTAGCCCCCCATCCTTTTTTGCAAAAATAGACATTATATTGGCATTGAGAATTGAAGTTTAACTTTTTTGTTGGTTTAGCCCCCCTTTCAATTAGACCCTGGGCCCTCCCCACTTTCAATTTGCTTTCGACGCCTATAATTTATTATTATATTCCCATAACATATTTATTATAATATTATAAAGATGTCCACATCCATGCATAAAAAATATTTTCTAAAGTGTTGAATTTGGAACACGTACTTACATGTTCTACTATTTTTTTACAACTTGTAACTTGGGAGTTAGCTATTTAGCTCTTACATTAATGAGATGTAATTTTTAGTATTCATACATGTGACCATTTAATATCACTAACTGAAAGTTTTTTTTCAAGGTTACTAGTATGTTTTGACAACGATATGCAAGTCACGGGATACGGGTTTGTTTAATTCTTCTTCTTTCTCTACATTTATATAGTTACATGTATACTGGCAGATTAAAAAAAAAAATCTATATATGTTCCTATGTTCCTATGTTATTAATGCAAGACGGAAGCCAACTGAGCTAGTTTTTGATGGGTTAAAAATAAATAACAACTGTAGTGACAGTGAAAAAATGTCATTTATGGCGTAAAACAAAATATAAACATATTTTAAGGGGTCAGACAAGACTAGAAAAATCTTCGAAAGGATACAGAAATCTTTGGTATCATATTATGAAATCTGACCCCTTAAAATTTATTATAGCATGTAGAAGGCACTGATATGCTTGTCATCAAAAAAGGGTGGGATAAAAGAAAATAAACGCCACAATCCAATTGCAGATAGGATCCAACCACCCAACTGATTTTAAAGTACATACAATACCCGATCCTGTCGGTATGCATGGTGTTACATATTGTATGTGAACTGCAATGCTAATTTATATATATATTTTTTCTACAGTATCATTTAATTGTTTAAATTAAAAGAAGGTTTTAAATTTTGAATTTAGGCCACGCCAATAAAAAAATTTGTTCGTCGGAGTGGACCCGCGCTCCCGTATTAAAAAAAAACTATATAAATAATATAAATTTAAAATCCCCGCACCATAGGAATTCTGTCTGTTTTCTGTTATATTTCCGCTCTATATATCATACTTTTAATCTACTTACTCTGCAAATCCGAGTACAATAATACATTTGTCCGCTCAATTTTTTTCACTCCCCGCCTAAAAATCTTGCCTACAAAAAAGTAATAATATTATTATTTAACCGTTAACCCGCTCGTACTTTTTTCATAAAAGGTCCGACGAACGAGAAATTAAATTGGTGTGGCCTTACTGTGTAAATGATGTTGATCTTTTTTAGATGACCACCTTTCCTCGGAATGAGATCAAAATGTCTGCAAAACATGCATGTCACATCGACAGAGTTAAAGGAATTTTCAGCAAAAGCTGGAATCTTTGTTTTTTCTTCATCATCATGACGAGTTTGACATGTGTATTGCCTTTCCAGTTTCGACATAACAGAGCAGCAGTAACATAAATTTAATTTCTATCAAAATTTCATAATTTTGGCAATTTTAAGATGCCTTCCCACGATCATTTAAAAACCACCTTTGTACGTATAAAAAGTGTAAATTATGGACATGTCCTTAATTACTTAGATTTCAAAACGAAGCATTTTAATTGTTTATCATCTTTTTTAACTGACGTGTAGTTTTACTTTAAAAAAAATACATTTTATCAATTCTCTCTCTCTCTCTCTTAAATACATGTAACTATGCGTTCACTCTCATCACAACATGGACAAACTCGTATGTTCCTATTTCTGTTTTAAAATTTTGTCATATGTTACACATACCCAAACCAAACAATTTTTTTATAATATTATTTAAAGGCAGATAATCTATTTATCTGTTCACCATAGCCAAACTTAAAATTATGTTGATTCACACTGCTTATCTATATATTAGCGAACTCCATGTTTGGAATCATCAAAGACACTCCGGGAAGTACAGAACTGCCCAACAAATAAGGATACTTGGGAGGAAAGATCAAGATTGATGGATTGTGGGAATATTCAACATAACTGTTCTGAAACCTCACTCGTCTACCATTGTCTTTTGGATCAATATGGAAGAGGTTTAATGGAGGTGTGCGCTTTAAGTACAGAAATTATAGGTATATTTTATGTTTAATGGGTTGCATATCATCATCTAATACATAAAAAACCGTCAGGGTTTGTGTTATTTTAAAATTCTATTTCGATATTCAGGTTAAATTTGTTTTGAAAAAAAAAAATTCTAAAATCGACAAAAAATCTCAGCTACTTATTCCCATACAAAAGCACATATTAATTTATTCCTTTGATACATTGAGTATTTGACAGTTCATACCATTGCAGGAAGACGATGTGCCGAATATAACACAGGTGCAATGATTATACAAGAACATTTTGCAAAAAGGTGCAGAATGTGTCCGTTTGCTTACAATTCCAACGTTGGCTACCTTTGTAAGACAAATTCTAGATCCTTATTTTATGCGCAAATACATGTATTGAGATAAATCACATAAAGAGAACCTTTGGGTCAAATGAGAAGTGAACATTCATCTAAAGTCTATATCGAAATTAAACAAGATGAAAAAAAAAAACTCTTTCAGTTTTCTTATAAGTACATAAAAATATTGAATATCAGTTCAAATACTTCTAGTTGTACGTATATGGTTGAATATAATTGACTTTAATATTTTTCAGATGGTGAATGTTTTCAAGTAGATGAACGCGAATTGACAACGGAAAGTGCTACAATAAAGCAACACAGCTCAACACTCTCACTGGTAATGAGTTCAACCTTTTCTGAAAGGAATTCATCTTCGTAAGTCATAGAGAACACGATCGAAATATTGTTTTTTGTGAACATAACAAGATGGAATGATCAAAATCGTAGGGATTTTTAGCTTACCTAAGCCGAAGGCTCAAAGAGATTTTCTCATCACATTTTGTCCGTCCACCGTCCGTCTATCTAGGTGTCCTTCTGTCTAGCTGTCTACCTGTCCGCCCGCCTGTAAACTTTTTACATTTTGACTTCTTCTCAAGAACCATTTGGCCAATTTTGACCAAATTTAGTACAAAGCATGCTTGGATGAAGGGAAAGAAGATGGTATGGTTTCCATACAAATTTTGCCCTGTGATTTTCTAAAAAATGAAACTGGTTTAAAAGTTGAAAACTCATGCTTTTTAAATAATCGAAATTCAATGCAGAAAAATCATATAAGTCATTTTTTGCCCATGTGTTTTTAAATGCTAATTATGACGTCCTAAACATGTGCATTTTCCCGTATTTTCTTAAAAAGTTGCAGAAGACACCAATTTTCAATGGAATTTTCTTTCAGATAACATTGTCCACAGGCATCGCCCACAAAGATCTTGAGATATGTGTTTTGTTATTGAATTTTGCACAAAATATCAAAAAATTATCGTGGGCGACGGCTGTGGACACTGTTTTCTAAAGGAAAATCTCCCTTGAAATGTGCCATTTTAAGGCTTTTTCTGTTGAAAATAGAGAAATGCTTCACATTAATGACGTCATATTTGCAGAATGGTAAACCTTCATGCCATATTCTTTCCTGATTTATCAGAGTCATTTATTTTCCTAATAATATAAGCCAGTTTCAAAACTTTTTGATGTCATTACATTTTTAGGGCGCAATAAAGCTAAAACCATACCTTCTTCTTTAAATTATTAACATTAATTCAATATATTGAAAAAAAAATTTGAAAATATTCTACTTAAGAACCACTGCATGGGCAAAAAAAACTGAAACTTACATGGAGGCAACCTGCGGTAGTATAGATTCTACATTTTTCAAATCATGATTTCTGGGGTAGGGCGGGGCCTTAATAGGCAATTAGAATTTTGCAAAGAAATATATAGGAAAAACTTCATTTTATTTTAAGGAAGTAAATGTCCAGAAAAGCTGAAACTTATGTGGAAGAGTCCTGGGGTAGTGTTGTTTCTAAATTATTCAAATCATCAGACCCCGGGGTTGAGTAAGGCCAAAATAGGGAACATAAGGTTTTAAATTGAAATATATAGGAGATTACTTTGAAGATCTTTTTCACAAGAAATATTGGACCAGTAAAGCTGAAACGCGTGTGGTAGCATCCGTGCGTAGTGTTAATTTTAAATTGTCGAAATCATGACCCATGTGGTAGCGTTGTGTCACAATATGCATTACAAGAGGGAAATTTTGCAAAGAACATTTAACATGGTCAAAGCTATTCAGATGAGCCCATTGGCCTCTTGTATTGTCAAGTAAACAGTATATTTAAAGCTTACTTTTAATCCAAATATGGGGTCAATGTCCTTCATTATGCGACATATATATTTTATATGAACCAGTGTCATTACGAAAACTAAAAGCGAAAACATTTCGATACATGATTTATTAAATAGAATTTAAATGCACGAATTGAAAACTAATCTTGATAGTCCGATGAAATGTTTATTACATATCATTGTATATTCCATAAATGAATAAAAAATGATGTTTTTTGCTAAGTATATACTCATATAATTTAACTATTGATTAGTTGTGAGTTTGACTTATTTTTTGAATCTTAAAAATATAAGTATCGAAGAGCATACCTAGAATGCCGGCTCTTGTTCAAGGCGGGATATTCCCAGTTTTCGTACACAGGCACTTGAAGTAAGGATAATACCCCTCCCCCTTTTTTTAATGAAAAAAATGTAAGAGTGTATAATATCTCAAAAGTATCGGTATAATACAAGTTGTGTATTTTTATTATACCGAATAAGGCCATTCTTTTAACGTGAGAAAAAGTATGATCTGCTTGCATATAACGACGTATAGATGTGTTTGACGGGGAAATTTTTTATACTTTTGAGATACTATACACTCTTACATTTTTTTCTAAAAAAAAAAGGGGGGATTATCCATTCTTCAGGTGCCTGTGTTTTCGTATGGTACCGGTTGTTTTCTGGCAAAAAATTCTATTGCATTACCGTAAACATATAATGTATTCAATGCTTTCAAGATAAAATCTTCTGTTTTCTTTGGGATTTGCAATGATAATAATTCGGATGAGACCGTAAAAACCATACGGTTATAAGAGTCTTCCGGAACCTGAAGAATTCATGACCTTATATATCATTGCAAAAGCTTACAAAAAACCTTAGGTACATGGATCATCTGAAAACCTATATGCATATCATTTTTCTGACCTTGATATTTGACTTGTGAGAGGCCTTAAAAGTTCAATGTGATATAAATTTCAAATCAAAATGATTATAAAAGACAAATTTCTTAGCAGTTCTTTTCTTCATATTTGAATATCCTCACACAGTACAGATATGTGGAAGGACGATGGGGAGTTATCGGGACAGAGAAAGCATAAATATTTCATGCATTGCATTATAAGGTTTATTGTGTATCATTTTAGTGAAATGTACTTTAGGTTTGGAACGACTACGAACAAAAAAATCACAACCTTAATGCTACGTTTACATTATGTTCCCGGCAGCCACGGCAGCCACGTTTGCCCGAAACGTAGTGCGCCGTGAGATTTTGGTTATTTTTCCCTCTATATCCAAGTCTTGACAAGTTCTTTTGCGGTCTTCTGCGGTCTTCTAAGGAATCCGTGATGGGCCGTAGGAAGAAATTGCCGTGGAGTGTCGGAGGCTCTACGGCGCACTAAGGTTCTGCCACGTATGTCAGCACGTTCCCCCCAGACCTCTTACGTTCTGATAGGTCCCCTCTCGTTTCTCGCGTTCTTATGAAGTTTTTATACGTTTCTCACGTTCTGTCAAGTCTTTCTAAGTATGAAACATGGACGCCGGGAAACTATGGATCACGTTTGTATCAGAGAGCGTCTCTTAACCAGAAACAATCATTGTATCATGACCCTTCGAAAACAAAGCATCATGAATTCCCACGACAATGATTTTATTTTCGCGTGTTTGCTGGGTGCATACAAAAAATCACTTCGTCAAAATGAAGAGAACCAGCAGCAGTTACAGAGTGGGAAGGCAGGGGTGCAGCAACTAGGAATGAGACAAATAAGACAGATGAGAAGGCGGAGATCCATATTGTTCCATGATGAAACTTCTCTGCAGTGCCCGGCATTTATATGCTTCCCATCAGACCGCGTGCGCCGTGTCAGACCGTAGTAGAGCGCAACGCACCAGGACCATAAACCGTAACATGCCGGGACGAACCGCGATTGAACGCGAGGAAACGGCAACCATACACCCTAGTTTGCCGTGAGGACCGTGATGAAACGTGGCAGAACGTGATAAAACGGACAACAACCGTGAACTAGCCGTGACAGAACGCAGACTAAACTCAGCAAAACGTCTCAAAACGTGAATGGACCGTGAGATGAATGGAAATATATACATTCTCCCGTCCCACTGCGGACTACCTTCAAGTTCTGTTACGGTCTATTACGTGCTGTCGCGTTTTGTTGCGTTTATTCCGTTTTACTACGACCTACCAAGTTTCACATCTGCAACGTGGCCGCCGTGGCAAATTTTTTGACAGTTTAAAAATCTGGCACGGCATCCACGGCAATCGCGATGAGTTACGTTTGCCCATCCCGTTGCCCCAAGTTTTCTCACGCCCACCCCGTTTTTTCCACGGTGGCTTGAAACGTGATTGCCGTGGCTGCCTGGAACATAGTGTAAACGTAGCATAATAGGATGTAAGGATAATCTTAAAGTAGTGAACTTCAACTAGAGAAAAGTTTTTCTACATAATTCAGAACTCCATACTTGTACACAATGCCTGAAATGTAATTTTGTTCACCGTATTTAAAGAATACATAAAAAAATTATTTTAATTATACCTTGTATCTAAATTTTTGCTTTAAATGTATTATTTTTAAAACCTAGAATAATATTTTTTTAGTATTATTATTTTAGTATTATAACATTATTTCTGCTTGGAAACCCGACACATCGATATATACTGACGATTTTTTTTTATTCTTAAGAAATACGGAACATATTGATGTCACTGAAGAAAATTTCGTCTCGATGATAACTCCAATTATCATTGGCTTAATCTTACCGGTTTTATGTATCACGTGTACAGCATTGGTGAATGTACTGATTTCATTTAAACGTATGTACTTTTATTTTAAAACGTTGAAATTTATGGTTATAATACCATGTAACAGATTTTTTTTTGACATTTTCAAAAGTAAAAGTACTAAGTAAATGACTATAACTATTTCTTAACTGTTTTGATAGCCAAAGAATTGACATCATCGGAAAGAGAAAATGAGGATTTTATAGAATTGACACCTCTAATGATGGGAAACATGCAAAGTAAGTTGCCAGAACTTTTTTTATAATATTGTTATTCAAGGAATGACTCTTATTCTTGGCCAAATTATTTGATCTAACATGCTTTGGGTAAGTTTACGCTTTATAATCTGCGAAGCGAATTTTTTAAAAGAGTGTTAAGTAACTCAAACCAAGTTATATTCGAATAATTTGGCAAACAATTAGAGTCATTTCTTATAATTTGAATTTTAAAATAATTAAATAACTGTGGATGTAAAATTGTGCTGCTTAGTTCAAATTTGAGTTCAAATTTGCCGCTCAATAATACTGCACAACCGTAGTAAAGGAAATGATTGGAAACAAGGGGAGATACATGTAATAACTGATATACATACCTAGATACCATGATGTTTAATTACATGAGGTAAGAACGAGCTACTGTTTGAAGTTGAAGGTACATTTAATAAATCTAAAATTTTCCATGGATTCCGAGGACTGGAAATGAGGGGATTATTAAGTCAAACGTGTTTGTCCCCATACCAACCAGATTATACAGAATAACTTGTGTTCCTTTTTGGAAATCGACCAATTAGAGGCCAGAAAACAAACAACATGAAATTATTATACAGTTATTTACTGATTGTAATATTTATTGTAGAATACTAAGATGTCAAATTGCAAAGAGAAACAGCAGACAGACACACAGTGCCATTAGTAGTTCACTTTAATTTAACCAGAATATATTGGTCTGTACACTACATGTAAACACGTAATTTTCATTAATGTAGTCAATATCCTACACATGCATACCTTAAACATTTGCTGGAAAATATTTTGAAATAACTTATATTTATATGCAATAATATAATCACGCAAAAGTTGTTCAGTCACCCATTTTACAGTTTAGGTTTTGCACCTACATATTATTCAGAATTATTTGAAATATTAATTTCAAATGTGCCTCAATTGATATAGTTTCCAAGAATGACATAAATTTTTATCATAAATTATTTCTTCCAATAATGATGATTTAATAATAATGCCTACAAATTTGTTTTCAACAGTGGATTGCATCATTTACATTTTTATGGAATCTTCAGAACCAAGTCTGCATTATTCTGTTCATAAATTGTATACTATTATATCGTTATCTATGCATGTCATTAAACAAATGTTTTGGTAACATAAAAAATGCAGCTTCCTATTCAGGGAAAAGGTATTTTTGTAGAAACTGTATCAGAAGTTTCTGATGAAGATGTCATTCAGCAATGGAAGGAGGAAGATTCCTACTTTTTTGAAACAAAATCTTTCTCGGCAATGATGGAAAAGGTTCAAAAGAAAAGTTATATGACATTTGTTGGTGTGGCAGGTTCAGGAAGATCAGCAACTGTTCGCCACATCGCCCTAAAATTCCAAGATGAAGGATACAAAATTGTACCTGTTCAAGATATTAGAGATTTGCAGTTACAGTTCTTTGATATTCATAAACCACAAATTTTTATCATTGATGATGTCGTGGGTGATTCAGGCCTTCACAGAGAAAAATTGACTTGTCTTTTAGAATGTGAGGAAAGAATTACAAATCCGCGTTTAACAAAATCAAAAGTGCTAATGACATTCAGAGAAGATGTGTTTGACAAATGTTGTAAATCGTTTTTTACTAGTGAGCAGCATGTCATTAGACTGCAAACGGAAGAAACATTGACTGATGATGATAAAAGAGAAATTCTTGAAAAGCATGGATTGGATAGAGATTTACTTTCTTTTTCTTCGCTTAGAAAAAGTTTCGATATGTTCCATCTTCTCTGTAAACTTTATTTGAAAGAAGACACTTTCAGGGCATATGGTGAAATTTTTTTTATCAGCCCGCTCCAGTGTATCTCCAGAGAACTGGACAAAATGTCCATTGAAAACAACGTCTGGTATGCTGCACTTGTTTTGTGTGTTTTCAATAATGACAAACTTTCTGAAGAGATTCTTGAAATCGAATCAAACAAAGATTTCCAAGAAATGAAATTGACTGTCTTAAAAAAATGCGAAATTGAAATTGATCCAAAAGAAATAAAATTTGTCAATGCATTGTCAGCAATGGATGGAACATATACTAAAAAGTACGGGAAAGATTACATAATTATTCATGACTTAATATTCGACGTTATTGCATGTCACTTTGGTTCAAAGTTTCCAGAGCTCATTTTGAGGTATATGAGTACCAGTTATATAGTGCATAATGTAAAAACAATCTCTCCGTGGAATCCGAAAAAAGTAAAAGTAGTTGATGTTTCAAACCAAATCAAAGACGAAAGAAAGAAATATACTGAACATACATGTAGTTTAAGATTACATTCAAAATATTATCCATTGCTAGCGGAGAGACTATATGAAGATTTAAAGAAAATGGAACTGCAAGATATTTTTGGTAGTGATATTTTGAAACATCCAGATGTATGTCAGGCATTGTTAGAAGTGCTCAAAAAGGATAGCTTCGAAAAAATAAAATCTGTATTTCTGTCAGAGCATGAGGATGCAACAAAATTAGAAATACGATGGCGAGATGCAGGACGAGATATCAGTGAAAGAACAAAAGATCTGCGAAAACAGCAACTACTGCTTAATAAGAAATTGATAGGGTATAAAATTGTAAACAGTGTGAGAGGAATAAGCTGGGTAATTTTATACGGACATTATCAGATCTTACGCTACATTGTTGAGGAAACTGAAAAACACAGAAAAACAGAAACCGAGTTATTTCAGGAATTTGCTGAAGAATATAATTTTTCAAAGCCGAAAGAAACAGGCACCAATGACGAAACTACGTTCGACTTGTCTTTCAGTACGAAAGAAGATGAAACAATTGAAAAAAGCGAAAGGGAAGATAATCAAAACAAGTTTTCGATTGTATGTGAAAGAACACGCTTACTTATTTTGGGATGTTACAGTGGTGATCTAGAGACTGTAAAAATTTTGCTTAAGTATATTGATAAAGAGTCTTTGAACACGCCATTGCCATTTCCTAACGATATTTCTGATGCATGGTACTGGGATACACCACTTACGGCTGCATGTGATTCTGGCAAAACACCTATCGTGGAAGAATTGCTTCTGATTGGGGCTAACGTCAATCAGGTGGGTAAATTAGTAACACCACTTATATCTGCATGTCAGGGTGGATATTTAGACATTATAGAGATCTTGCTGAAGTTTGGTGCTGATGTCAATCTACCAGGTGCATTTGATATCCCTCTTACATCAGCATGTAGGAGTGGACATGTGAAGGTGATGAAGATTCTGCTCACAAATGGAGCCAACGTTAATCAGCAAGGTAAATGCGATACTCCTTTAACAGCGGCGTGTAAAAAAGGACATTTAGATCTTGTGCAGCAATTGATAGAAGCGGGTGCTGATGTCAATCTTTACGACCAGTCGAATGAATCTCCACTTACAACTGCATATAATGGCGGTCACGATAAAATAGTGCTGGAGCTGCGAAATTATGGAGCTGATTACTATCTACCAAAAGCGCCATGTATGTATAATGAAGAAGAAATTAGTGTTGCCAATGATATAATCATGGTGGATGGTTTTGATATAAGATAGAAAAACGTTTATAAACTTTTATAATATATTTTACTAAACTCTCTTTTTTAAGATACATGTATTTATTCATTATTTTGTAGTGTCAATTCTTCTCATATATTAATCCTCCGCCCCCTTTCTTTTAAATTACAATATTAGAATATTTTTTTACTATTGACAGATACATATACATTAATGTTTAACATGATTCAATATGCATCATGTATTAATATTTATTTGAAGATTCTTCGATAAGATTTATTGTAAGTAAATTATCTTAAAGACAAATAAGTGTATTGGGCAGAAGAATCCCTATTTGTAATAAAAATAAAATTTTTCTCCGCTGATTTCGATTGAAGGTCCTGAATAGGAATCAAATTATTTTCTTTTCTCGTAAAATTTCTTTGTAGGGGTATGGCTTAGTATTACGCAAAAAGTAGCTCTTTAATTAGTTTTAATTCTGCATTCAAACTTTGCACTGAAAATTTTAAATTTATGAAAATTGGAACTGTTTTCCTTTTTATACAATACAATAAATGGTCACGTTTGAACCTAAGACCGTTTTAAAAACGAATGTACGGCCAAAATTTAATTCTGACAAAAAATTCTAAGTTATATTAAATTTAAAAAAATGTTTTAAATTTTTTTATGATATTCAGAAATATGCGTTTACGCTAGAAACCTTATACAATTATCTCAAACAAATTCTTTTTGTACAATACGCCTATGAATGACCCACTTTTTGACAGATGGCTAACTTTCTAAGTTGTTCGATGCAATGATGTTGGCAGCAAATACAATTTTTATCATTGAATCAAATGCTGATTGAAGTTTTTCATACCAATTGTTAGTCCATTATTTATACATTGATGTTGACGACGGATTTTCCGTTTAACTTATTTCCTGATCATGACAAGGAGCACACGGTGGGTGTGACCGGATAGCAGTGGATGCTCGATCCTCCTTGGCACCTGTCCCCTCCTCTGTTGTTTCAGAGGTCTGTGTTTGCACTGCTCCTATTTTGTATTGTTTTATGGACTTAAAGATTGAATACTATTTGTTATTTTCATATCCGTCTTTGAATGTAAGGTTTGGACATATATTTGTTTATATAAAAATAGAATTTGTTTCCATATAACAATAAACGCAAAGGCTAAAATATATAATAATTTTTTTATTTGTGAAACAGTGTTTATAGCAATTATTTAGTGCAGTTACAAAGAAGAATATTAAAATGGGATCCATATGCTGATGAAAGTTATAAAAACAACTCAACTAGACAGATATAGTCAAACAACCAGACATAAGACAGGGTTGTCGAATTGCAGTTTATTTTATTGGTCCAAATTCCTCTATTCCCATTAAGGAAAAAAGTTTTGTTTCTGACCAGGTTCAGAGATGATTTCCATAAATAAATATATATATATATAAATATATATTATAAAGCTTCTGAAGATTTGAAATGAAAGCGCTTAAGCTAAACTAAAGGTTTTCGTGTTTCTTTTTTAAAAAGATTTACCTGTAAACTACCGAGCACTGTGGATTTTTTTTGTTTCATATATATATATATATATATATATATATATATATATATATATATATATATATATATATATATATTGAAAGAATAAAATTTGAATAAGAGGTAAATGATTAATGTTTACTTAATATAATTTAAAGAAAATCAAGCCTCAGATGGCTGCTTGATCAGGGAAATTAAATTGCCTAAGCACGAGTGTTGCTACACCAGTACTCAGGGAACTGTTCACAAGTATAAATATAAACAAGAATAGATATGGGTTACCCCATATCCAAAGATACCGTGGTTTCAACAATTTTCATTGGCATCAATTTTTGTGGATTTTGTTATACAGACCTTTTCGAGGATATGTAATTTCGTGGAAAAAGCATCGTCTATATACAAATAAATAACATAAATTCTTAATTCATTGAACATTTGAATTTAAAGATCTGCTCAACAACGAAATCCTCGAAAATTAGTGCTCAGCGCATATTGATGAAACCACAATATTCGACTTGTAGTTTAACAGTGTTTAATGACTTCTATAAACAGTGCACTGTCTTGATATGGAACTAGTGTTAAGTTCATGAGTCCGTAGTAATACTGTCCCTCGGTCTCCAAGCAAACATTGCATATACCTGTGTCTGCTAGACCAGTTAGCCTTGGTCTACACGCGTGCAATGATATTGTCCAAAGCATCTAGCGAGCTTGGAGAAATACGTTCGTTTTGCGGAGAATTTACGATGACAGGTCCGGTGTTGTATTACCGTTCTGGATTTATATCTTTTCAATTTACTTAAATTTCTTTAGGAGCATATAGCTTTAGTTCATCATCGTAGCTTGGCGTAGGGGGGGGGGGGGAATGACGCTTTCCCTCGCGGGTTTGTTAATGCTACGTTCCCACTGTCGTGCGGTCAGTTACACACGTCACGATAGATAAATCGTAGTTGATCGCAGAATTTTTATTGAATTTTATGCCAAGACACGAAGAGATGCGTATATGTGCGTTTTCATACCTTTCGTTACGTTTTATGCGCTTTGGCCACGATGGCTTAATTTCATGAGATGCGATCTCTGACGATCTGACAACCGGTCGGATAAGATGAATTACGTTCCAATAGGATTATAAAGATTTAGTCGAGAAAGGACCTCGATCTGTCTCGATTATCACGATCCGAGTTCTTGATTCGAAAGGATCTCCTACGTTTTAATACGTACTCTTACGACACAATACGTTCATTGCGCACTCTTGCGCTAATGTACGATAATATAACACGTTCTTTGCAATGCCTTTCACGATCAGGATCAAGAAAGAACACGCTGTGAGCTACGATTGTACCCCGACAGACATATGATAATCTGGCTATACTGAGTCCTTTATATTTGTCTATTAAAAAATAAACAAAACATAAATATTCAATTACTAATTATGGCAGAAGTGAACGTTGATGATAACTTCTTAAACGTTGTGTGTGTAGTTTAACTCTGGCCATATGTTATTACTGTCAACGTAGAGTAAAGGCAGTAGTATAACTGTTTTCCTTAAATTTTTATTTTCTTTCATCGATGTTGTCTCTGATCGAATGGGTTCAGGTTCAGAAGAAAATAGGATTTACCTTCTCTTTCTTTTTTTTGTACCTGTTTTAGGTGGCACCTTTGAAATATTTTTCCAAAACTCAAACATTTTTTTTTTGATCGGGAAAGAAACGCGTTCAATTTTCCCGTTATTTTTGCAAGCTTAAATACTCGTAATATAGCGTAATTATCCGCAACAAAGCGTTAACACTCGTATCTAATGGCATTTACTCTCATAAGTCCGTATCAAATCGTCTCTGAGCGGGAAAATATCGTGTCAGCACGTGAGCAGTAGTACCACGCAAAGCGTCACAGAACGTGAGACATCGCAACGAATCGCCACTCAGCGGGATGTTTGTTATGTCCGAGATCAATCCCGATTTGATCAATCCCGATGATCACGATATGAAAGCCAGATTAGATGGGTTTACTTACAACTGTGGCTAGTTACGATGTAATGCGACTTGATGCGATGATAACGATTAAAATTTAATCGTGTTAATCGTAAAAAAAATTTGACAGTCAAAAAAAATTTCACGATTAACACGATAACCCCGAGTAAACACAAAATTTGTTTCGGTTGGATACGATTACTACGATTTGTCCACGTTCGAGTCCTCGATTTCAATCGTGGCGCCAATAGTGATAGTGGGAACATAGCATAAGGTAGCACACAGATCAGAATTCGGAAAATAGACACTTTTTTGCAAAATCGCAGCACTGTTAAGGCTTACTATGAGAAATCAACGGAAAATAAAAGTGCAAAAAAAAAAAACGGGAATTTTTTAAATTTGAATTTATTTTTATTCAGCAATTCTATTATCACAGAACTTAAATACTTATGGAAATAGCATTGTATAACATACTATGTACTATGTATAGTTGGTCCCATCGATGGACAGTCACGTGATGAACGCATAGCAGGTATACAGAATATCGCAGGGGCATACCCTAATTGAAAATAAAAATTCAAGCTATTAATTGTTTCTGTGTACTTTGTAGTTTCTGAAAAGTGCTGCTTTGAATATAATTCGCGTTTTAATACTTAAATGTTTAAGTAAATAGGCCAATGTCGAAATATGTTAGAATTTTACCAAATATTTTGTGTACTTATAAAATCACGGCCTCGATTTAAAGAAAGCAGCAGCACTTTTCAAGTTAAGGAATATATCCTTTATCTATATTTAAAAAAATGGTTCAGATCTATGCAGTGTATGCCCTTGCGAAAGTACGAGTTTATGATGCATCTCGATGTAAAATATACGTAACTTGTACACAAAACACGACATAATTAATAAAATATGTTCTCTTTGTAGTTATTTATCAATCGCGCTAAACAAAGACTATACCTTGGTATTAATCGACTAATTAAAATCTGTAAATAATATTCCGTTTAATAATAAAACACATTTTTCGTTGATAACCAATTTCTCAATTTGCCTCTCGCAGCACACGAAGTACGTCATTTTTACAAGTATGACGTCATGTTTACAAGTTTATCGCGACGAGTGCTTTGTCTATAACAAGCTACATTGGATTTAACTAGCAATTTTTTTAATGCATTGACGCCGCCAATTGCCGGTAGAGGGCTACAAATTTTGTCCTATGCTCAGCACTTAGGGCCTTTGAGTAGTGAGGGATCTTTTTCGTGCCAACACCTACTGCGACACGGGGCCTCGGTTTATACGGTCTCACCCGAAGGACCGGTCTCCAGTGGGATTCGAACCCGCGACGTAAGGATTGACTCCTTACTTCGCGACTTTAGAGCGGACGCTCTAAATACCGCGCCACGTGTGCGACCATATAAACAATAGAATACGAACTTAAGTGTTGAACTTTTGCATTTTTTTTCGTTACAAACGAAAGAGGAAAGGTTGAACGGCAAGTAAACACTCTGTCTGCTTTTATTTTACGAAGAAATTGTAGAATTATATTTTGCATGCCTTATTCATAAGCTTTATTCTCACATGAATCACACTTGATATTCATTCTAATTGCTTTTAAACTCCGTTTTCTTGTGTTTGTTTACATGACTTTTCTTTACGTTTCACTTTCACTCTGCTACTGCATGATCAACAGTTATGACGACGCTTGTTTGGTATTTAACCCCCTGTAATAAATATAGAGACCCAGAAAGGACAAAATTCCCTTTATATTATG